CTGACACCATTGTATGAGCTTTCGAAGAAATCAAAACTACGAATACCATGAAGTTTTCCTGTCTGCTACCCGATGCTCCCATATTGTTAAAGGTTGATGCATCAAATACCACTATCGGAGCTATGTTGCAGCAATCCGTTGATAAAGTCTAACTGCCACTTGGATTATCCTAGAAATTCACACCGACCGAAACTCGATACAGCACATTTGGTCGTGAGTTACTCGTGATATACGCAGAGCATCCGACACTTTTGACAACTTCTGAAAGGGAGAGAGTTCGTTGTGCTTACCGATCACAAGCATTTGACATTCGCTCTACAGGCTAAGCCAGATATATGTACTCACCGTGTGAAGTATGTCAGCTAGACTTCATTTCACTGTACACCAGTGATATCTGGAGGAGATAATATTGCCGCGGATACACTGTCATGCCCGCAAGTTAATTTGATGTACACGTCTCCCATTGATCTGGAACACATGGCTCAATTAAAACAAGACGAAACACTCGAGTCGCGAATGAATTACAAACAGCTATCGTTGAAGATCCAGTCAGTAGGTAGGTAGATTGATTGATCATAGATTCTTGCATCCACGAGTAAAACTATTTTCGAGGCTTTTCATAACGTCTCACATTCCATTAAATGTGCAACTGTGAAGTTGATCTCCGAACGCTTTGTATGGCCGAACATGAACAAAGGCATTTGCACATGGGCAAAGACTTGATTAGCATGTCAAGGTTCGAAAGTTATTTGGCATACCCACATATCGGAACTATCACACAATCAGACAGTAATTTCGAATATATCCACATCGATCTCGTCGGACCGCCACCATATTCCAATGGTAATTCGGACACCCTAATATGCATCGATCGTTTAACTCGAAGGTCCGAAGCCATTCTCGTTGCAGACACACATGCAGAAGCCATCGCCAGTGCAAATATCACAAGGCGGATAGCCACTTTTGGTGTCTCTTCCTACATCACCAATGACCTCGGTTTTCAATTGGAATCTCAGCTTTTCCAACAGTTGAAGAAAGTTTGGCGCTGCAAAAGGATTGGCACTATAGCTTATTATCTCAAATCGAACGGTTTGCTCAAACGTTCCCTACGACACGTAAAAGCCGCGATCAAAGCACACTGAACCGACTCACTGGACAGACATAGTTCCGATGACGTTGCTCCATTTGCGTACAATACTTCGACCAACTCTTCAATGTTCACCAGCAGAACTGGTTCTAAAAACCGCGTCGCGCATTTCTGGTCAATTCTTTTTACCCCTGTACCAAACTGTAACACTGACCAGTTCCCTGATGTTACTAAATTGAGGAACCGCATAAACCAACTTCACTATTGCGCACACACGAGTTCAGTGAAATCATCGTAGGTTCAACTTGATCTCATTTCGTGTACTCCTGCTTTCAATAGCAATGACGCGTGAAACAATCTTCACAAGCACCGTATGATGGTCCATTTCACGGTCTTACGTCATGCTAAGCATTTTACTGACCAGCTACCCAACAGAATGTGCAATGTCAGCATTGACCGCTTGAGACCTGCATACACTGATTTTTTGGAATCCATACCAGCAGATAACATTCAAACCGACAGGAACACCAAAGGATACCGACGTCTCCGACAGCAACCCCTTCAACTGGGACTTCTACCAAAGAAAAAATACGTGTCATTTGAAGCGCATGACGTGTTCAGCTGTCCTACCGATTCGTTGTCTACTGAAACCAGTGACAAAACACAATCATTCATATTCCCCCCCTCCAACACATGCACTCATTTTCAATAGAAGCAACGTCGTCATACAAGCACATGTGATAAGTCCGTCTCTTGTATGTATCAGCATTATCTGTGCAATATTATCATGTATATTAGTGTCTAATCTGATTTTGTAAGCAGTCTCGATTTAGGCCTGATGCCTTCAGATAGAACCGACCAAGGTCTGCTCCCATAGAACAGAGCAGTCTTGACTGCGATCCAGTCCTATGCGATCACTCAGAGAAATCCCCTTATTGTACAGATATTGAAGATTCAACAATGCTGTTTTTGCTTTCGCAGTACGTGAGCACGCGACACTCGCTGTTAATGCGGCTACCAGGTAACTGGTCAGATACCTCCAGTTCCTTATCGTCAAAATTCAAATCGCAGCAGTATCTTACACGTCGAAGGTGCGAAACGCATGACGAAAGATGAGACCAGTCCATGGAGTTTACCCAGGTCTAACTGAGCCGCCTCAAGACGATTAATCACCAAAACTATGTCACCAATATAATACAATCAATCAGTTTCCTGTGCAACTCTCTATTCAACACATCGATTTGAACAGAAAATGGAGCCAGAAGAGCCTTGACGAGCGCCAGTTGTTGTCGTCCGAAGGCGTTTAAGAACACCATAGACTCTGGTGAAATGATGTGCAAAAGGTTCACATATTGCTACATCTCCCGGGGTTAGAACCAAATGGTTTCCTCTGGTAATGCTTTGAATGCATAGGAGTGAAAACCGCTGAACAAGGTGTGTTGGCACAATGAGCACAAGACCTGGATAGAAGGTGAAACCACACAACCACCACCACCAACACGTTCTGTTATATAGCGATAAGAAAATTTTTGTATCACAGAAACGCAAGGCGAGTACACAGTAGAAACATTTTGTTTTGATACATACACATGGCTGTTGCGGACAAATGCGTACCTAGATTTTGGCTAATGCATTTTGTTTCGTTCCTGTGAGCAATTAAGGTAAGCCGGGGAAAAAAGTAGTGCGAAATTTTCGTGTTTAGTTGAATTCCAGTTAGTCATTGTTTAGATTTAAGCAAAAAACTGAGTGGACCATTTAAATAATGACTAAGTAGAGTTAAGACTATTAATATATGGAATTCGCATAGATTAAAGTACATGTCGCCTCATCGTAACTTTGTGCTCCGGCACCAAAGCACGTTGTACCAAGAAGCTTATTATTGTGGCTTTCCGTACATAGTAGAAAAAAATATTCTTCAGAAACAGACAAGATAGAACATGTCCTCGAATTATGTTTATTCATGCTCTAGGTGAAGTTTCTTTTACCTCCTCCTCAATTGTAATATTACTCTCATTGTCCTGTGTTTTCTTTCCCGACAACATGCTCTATACTGGAATCTCAGTCAACATTGTACTTTTGAGCTTTCGTCCACTTGTTCTCACAGTCCATCTCTGTGTTTATGGGAAACTTATCCCAAGTGGATTAAATAGCTGCTGCAGTCCAGAGGGACCAGGAACAACTGAATGAGGGTCTATTACATCTACTGAAGATAGATTGTCATTGCTATGCTTGGATTTTCTCTCAGCTAAGTATGAGATCTAGCATTACATCAAGGTTACAACATGCCCCGACAAACCATGGTTCAGAAACGCTAACATAAACAAAGAAAGCGTTTATAGAGTATTAAAACCAAAAGAAACATTGTTAACACTGTAAAGGTTAGTTTAGATTAATTAAATAATAAACGTGTTATAAAAAGAAATTTGAGACGTTGTTTACCAAGGTCGCATGTCACCCATGCAACGGAGCAGTGTACAGGTTTGTAGATGTCCCCAAACGGTAATGGTGCAAACTTTCCCCGTGGTATTTTTTGTATCGGCTTACCCTATAGCTGACAGACGAGTTTCATTTTGCGGACAGCTTACTACTTTCGTGTAACGTAATCTAATCCTAGCACATACAGGCCAACCTGCTATGGCGACCAGCCAAAAACGCCTCCCCCCGTTTCCTCCTATGAGTAACGTCCCTATGCAGTAACTCGTCCATGGCGACCATCTGGCCAAGGCGACCACTTTTTGTCGGTCCCTTGAGTGGTCGCCTTAGACAGGTTTGACCGTCGTATCATATATAGGACAACTTTCTCACCAAGCATATAAAAGCAGGGCGAGCTATTGAGTTAATCGACATGTTGAAGTCGAGAAAGAGTCATAGTCAAACAGCGGTACTTGTGACGCTGCTCTATCACCCACTGGAGAGTGGAAATATGGTTCATAAACCACTGTACCAAACGAAAACCGATCTAACCTTTCCTAATCCGAAATTTTCATTCCACAGTAAAGCGACCGGTGTGAATGGAAGTTAGTGACTTCTTCGCTAACGGCGTCACAAACACAAACGGTTGGATTGATCTTCTTATATACATCGCATCTATGATCGATTAGTCTGTTGTTTTGGATAGTCTCCTTCCATATATATTCGAACAGTTGGGTCGGCAATTAGTAGGGAGTCTCGCCACCATCCACACTGGGTATGTAAACGAATGAGGGCTATGATCGTGTATCGAGTATTAGCCTTATATACATCGTCCAAACTGGCCGGCTAGAGTTCGGCTTGCATCACCTGAACACGAAGCGGCTCAGGAGCAAGGGTTCAACTGAACTGTTCCCGAAAATATCCACCACATAAGACAAATGGCGCTCCCAATCGGGAATTAAAGCACAACTGTCGTTTCTGAATGTTCTACTGACACATGAGTCCCTGGGACTAACAGTGTGCATCGGCTAATAGCGTCTGCGGTTGTTGCACTTTGGTTCCACTAGGCTACTTTGCCAACTTGCAGACTCCGTTTTCGCGTGCGCTGGCTTACGATGTATATGTTGTCAATAGCGATATTTCTTTCGAACTCCAACAGATCCATGATCATTTCTGATATCCGGTGTGTAGTGCAACGGCGATTGATAGTGCCCAAAGCAAAATCACTCGCGTCGTACATGGAAGCGGAGATCCTATTCCACTGATGCCCGAGGTCATTAGTCAGTGGATCAAGGAGGGGAGGTGAATCGAAACCACTTGTAGAGCCAAAATAATGTGACATAGTAACAGCTATCATAAGCTGTAACATAATACACGTCTAGGTAGTTGGCTGTGTTCAATAGTCAACGGAAGTAATCAGTGTTGATTCAGATACAACGTGGTAGATACGCACAAATTAAAGCGTCCACGAAGGTAGCATGTCATACGAGCCTACAGTTACCTGATCTTTCCATCATCCGTGGCCACTGCAACGGCGTCCTCGCTGAGCTTCACAATTTTCTCCACGGACGTGCCATCCTTCGTTGTATTGGATGGGAAAAGAGCGAATCGGTCGGCCACTATTTCAAATTCGTCCCAATTAAAAACACACAGAAATCCTTCTTCGGTGCCAACTACAGCGTTGCGACTATTCTGTAGTGGAGAAGTACAAGTACAAAAGGATGATGTTCAAGGCAGTTAGGAAGATATAAAACACCGTGCTGTGTGCATAAACGAAAAAACTACACAATTTCAAACAATTCTGGGCATTACGTCACTCGCACATCTCGGCTGAAGCGTGGACGGCGAAACGCTGGTATCACTGCTTTGCATCTCAGTAACTAATGTCAGCTGTTCGTGAACGTATCAACACCTTCAATTAGTTTACCATCATTGTGTAAGCATAACAGTGGATAAACTAGAACAAACAGTAAAGGACTAAATGCATAGATATCAGGTTGTCTTTAAAATGGCTCGCATGTAAGCGCCGCGATGTGTACGACGCCGCATGCTGGCTGCTCAGACGTTAGGATCACAACCTGTAGCCTAATACGCAGGTCACAAGATGGATCCAAGAGGAATAAACTCAGCTAAGGAGGCAATAAGAGGAAAAGTAGGGACAACGGTACATCATGAAGAGACGTGATGGATGGCATGTTCCAGGTGTCATTAGACCCACTCCTGCTAGATAGATCATTGGGTAGGAGTCGGACAAACTCAGGTGGGCATCCTTTTCGGAGGTTAGGAAATTTTGCTCTTCGGAGACATGGCGAAAGGAACAACAGGTGACTGGTTATAAGATCAGCACGATTAGCACAGAGCACGAGTAATACGCGTTGCCTCCGATAGCAGCAGAACACTGTCCCGTGATCCGTCTCAAACCCGACAAGTCTCACATACGGTTGCTCGTAGTTGAAGGGGTTTAATACACTTCGGCCGAAAAACAGGTGAATTGTTCCGAATGTTCAAAGGCTACGGTGGCAGGTCTCAAGCAGATCCCAAAGTGACTCTACATTCAGACTGGTGAATTATACGGGCTCTTTACTACCCTCTTGGTCTGACTATTGGGTCAAAATACTGAGGGTGAGGCAGTTCGAACAAAGCCCCTCTCAGAACTTCCAGGCGAGGAGTATGGTTTGGCCAAGAACATTGCTTATCGTCTTTCCTTCATCTTACAAATATCATCCTCGCAGCCTACTAAGCGAGATTGCTGCTAACTTATTCACCACAGAGTATGCAAGTCATTCTGAATCATTTGGCGGTTGAAGCATCTAAGTATGGCCTGAGCTTCGCCTCCATGAAGTGTAAAGTGCTACTTCAGGACTGGCCTACATCCACTCCTGTGCTCACCCAAGGTGCATAACTTGAACAGGAAGAGAGTTTCGTCTACCTTGGGTGCTGTGATTCTGCTGGCGGTACTATCAGCAAGCAAGTTCCGCATTGCATCGCTAAGGCCCGATCAGCGTTTGTCAAGCTGAGGCACTTGTGGCGTAGACCAGATGTCTCCATCGGGCCGCATTTACAGTGCCTCTGTTCATTTAATGTCGTTCTATGGGAGCGATTCCTAGCCAATTCGTGTGGACGACATGCACGGCCATTCCGCCTTTGACAACGGTTGTTGGAGTAGGATTGCTCGTGTGTGGTGGCGACGCCGAGTTCACAGTGTTACATTCGACGTCGCGCCCTGGGGAATGCGACTATTCTCTACAAAAAGCTGATTTTTCTGCGTTAGTTGAGATGGTTCGGTCACGTCTTACGCATATCGCCCGAGCGTTAATCGCGCCGCGCTCTATTTGCTCGTTCAGGACCGAGCGGAATGCGACCGTCTGGTGATCAGCACGTGAAATCGCTGACGTCACGTCTAGCCACCGTTGGATCCGTGCGCCTTTCTGGATGGTGACCTAAATATGAGGGGTGCCAGTGGCTTAACTCGCTTGAAGACATGGCCTGCAACCGGAACCTACGGAGAATTGTTCGTGTTGAGCGCTGATGTGCATAGGCGACAGCGGGCAATGATAAGCAACAAGTTGATATGTCAGACTGAGCGAGATGCGCTGGACTCGATGTGTGTAGAGAAGAGCTTTGTTGCGACACCACCCGGGGTCTTGCTTAGGGGAGTGGGGAACTTGTTGATTTGGCATCGAGAAATGAGACCAATCACAATTAAACTGGGTGGTTGTTCTGAGACTTTGTGATGGCTTGTTTGCTGTCGTTTCTTAGCCGGATTGCAGGTTAAACTGCATATGTTGCTGAGCTGTTAGTGATAAAAATTTGATAATGGCTTGGTGCAGTGAAAGCCAAAGAGAAGTTAAGTCACCAATGGTTTCCTACCTTCGCACAATGGCCAGCTACATTGGACCTTGCATCGTTAGTAAAAGCATCTAATCCTGGTTGAGGCGTTTAGGTCTTACATTTCACATTTCCAAACAATTGTGACTGTATTGTGGAGAAGCACGAATTCATACAACAGATGAACTGCCTTTGATGACGAAGAGGGTAATGTTAATTTGATAAAATAAGATTAGGGAAAGATGGGAACTGTGATTGACTTGGGGCCTGAAACAATCCAATGTACTCATATCATTCAAGAGTGAGTGAACACGCTGGACAGCTCCCAGATACATGATATTGCTCGGTAACAGTCACTGACTTCAGAATGATCAACGCTTGACAGTCACACCTAGGTAAAAGTGGACCAGGGCAGCTTGCATACTGGGCGTTCAACAGGCGGTAAATAATCTTCAATCCCTGTTAAGTATGGTCTGTAGCCCGATAGACGAAAGAGAACGCACAAGCGCAGTGTGGAACCGTTTTAATGTAAGCTTTCTACGTTAGAGTAGCTAGAAATGCCGAAAGAAAGAACCAATGAAATAAGGGAGAAAACAAGGCCAATGTCAACCATTAATGTGAGTAGTTATGTTCACAATCAACATTCAAGTGCATATGTGACAGTCCCTTACACGGCGGAATCCCCCTTCGAGGTCAGCGACTTGATAACTAACGTGAATATCATTCTGCTCAAAGGGGTTAGCAGGTCATCAACATTCACATCGAACAAAGCCATATTAGAGATGAAAACAAAATCCGGTAGCACTTGCTCAAACGCTGAGAGGTGGTCCAGCTGTGATGTGACGCTAGCCGCTTCAGTATTAGCACGACGCTGTCATATCAAGAATTCGACTTATACGCTGAACAAGGTATGGTCTCAGGAAAGTAGTTTTAAATGAGACGTAGTTTACCTTGAGCACAACGACCGAGCGTGCGCTATAGCCGAGAGTGTCAGACATCACTTCGACTCTTGTTTTCCTGATGTTCAGCACTGCTAGGGAGCCATTGTCCAGAGCGGCAAGGAGTACGTTGCGACGATCACCGAAGGCCATATCATTGACGGCGCCAAAATTGTCATCAACGTCCTCCTCGGATAGTGGCAGAATAGTCTGAACGGCAGCTCCGGGAATGCGTATATCCCAGATCTGGGAAAAGAAGAATGATATCACTTAAAATAACGTAGCACGTTTTACGACTTATAGGGCACCAGCAATACGCAGTACCGACACTTCGCTGTCGACAACCACCACCAGTTGTAGGTGTGTTAATGATAGTGCGAAGGTCGCCCTATCCCCTACGGAAGCTCGAACCCGTGACCTCCCCATTAACAGTCACGCTTGTGACACTTGAGACCACGGGTTGCTGAGTTGAGGCAATCACCAATGACAACCGTAAAGAAAAATAAACACGTAGGCAGGGAATGATGAATCAGATAGGTTTAATAACTGAGTGCGAAGTGCCGCGTATTTTGAGATGAGAACTGCGGCATAGTAGATATGCTGCATGAAGCAAGTGGTCATGATACCCAGACACAGGATAGGTTCATCCTGCTGATATGATATGGCTAAGAGCGGACCCCAATGGGGTTTGTGTCGTGAGATTTTGTCCATCCCCCTCCCCATTAGATTCCCCCTCCAATTTCGACCACATTCAAAACGCATATATTATTTAACATCACATTACTTGCTTGGAATTATCTTTTAATGTAATTCTTTATTAGCTTACCCTTTTGTATTGCGGCACGTTTGCTGTGTAGTGATCTGATTTGACCATCCTGCGGGGTAGAGAATTAGGAAGAAACCACAATGGGAAGATACTTAAAAAATCAGTGGTGCATTTTGCCTCTGTATGAAACAAGCCACTTCGCCTTATGTGATCTGCTAGGCCTCTTAGGACGTCCGAAAGTGAGTCTCAACAAATGAAGACACTTTCGACGTTGTTCGCCCCAAAATCGCACCCCATGGCTGGTTCCGTAGCTCGCTGAAACCCAATCACATTGCTGGCTCAATATCTCTCCAACCATGTCCAGGACTCGTAGTGTACTACGGCTTCTGTAACTCGCCAATACATTAGCTAAGCCCGATACCGTACCTTCAGTTCTCATAATAAGAATATTCCAGATAGTCCCTACAGCGCATACTAAAGTGCACTTCGCTTCAATCCCCGCGTTAGGTATGGCCGAGTGGTAGAGTACAGACAAGCGATGCAGTACGAAGTTGTTCTGCCGCTTTCCAAACATTGCAGTTGATGAAACCATGAAACCGACTGTAATTGGTCGAAGTAACAGACCGCAACGTGCCCGATCTTTCGACAAATCAGCCAACCACAGCGCAATCCATCCACTAGCACACTGAAGACCTATGCTAACTGGGGTGGCACTCAAGTCCGAAACGCAATATTTTCCACATCCGGTCACGACCTATCTTGGTCCCTTCATATGAACGAAGTATGCACAAGTTAAGATTTCTTTATCCGTTGCTCGTCGGCGATACTTTTAAATCCCGCTGTATTTACTACTGCGATCTATCGATGCCTGAGTGTTGCACCACTTGACAGATTGTTCCCCTGTAGATTTTCTGGACTATCAAGTGAGTGTTCAAAAGCAATAGAGAGATGATTGAAGCAACTACCTCGAGGTAAAGGGTATTCCACAGCCGACTCAATGAATGTCATTGTGTACACTCATTTCAGTTGTTGCAAAACACCTGATTCAAAAAATACTCACTAATACAAGTAGCCTTCTTCATGATGCACGGTATGTTTACGTATCAACTTCATTGAATATACCTAAGTACAAACCCATGTGACTACAACTTGCCTGTTGTCCCACATCGTGCATGGTTTTTCGCGAATAGAATCCGATCGCGTAGAAGCTTACCAGGAAGTCTACAGTGTGACTGTATCACTGCCCATGCCAGTTACGCACCACATTGTGTGCGCAAGTATTAAGTCTTATTTTTGCACAATACTGAGTGCATGTGTGGGATGCCTGAATATTATTCACCTGTCCTGTGTGCATAAGGTTCATTTTTGACATGATATGACTTGATTCGAACTGACCATGTCCACCACTGCTACACCATGGAGAGGAAAAATTCATCGGATTCCCAACCTTATTTGTCATTCCACACTTGTTCATTTTGTATTAAACTATGCATACTTCGGTATCATGAAGAAGGAAAAGAAAGGATGAGTTTCCAGCTTTATCCCCTGTACACATCTTTCTACTTCTTTGGTCTCCGGCCTAGCCGCTTCGCGATATACCCAGCTCACATGCGACTGGCGATGGTAGCGTGACGCAGAAGCGATGGCACGGTCTGCCGGCGTACTGCCGTTGTATTACTTTTTTTTACTGCCGTGGCCATGCAGATATCCAGTATCCCATGCCATCTAAAAAATGGTAAGAAAATGTTTTACGATGTTAAATCCGCCAAGGTCATCATCATCATTATACACGTTAGCTAGAGGTGTAAAACACCTCAGCTACTGTGCTGCAACACATAAAAGAAAAAAAAGAAAAGAAACGCAACAGTTGCATGCCAGCTGAGCTACCGGTAACGGATGGGCATCGTTCCGGAGAGCTACTAGCCGGCTAGTAGGCAACAAAATATTATTATGTAAAATTAGATTACGCTACGAACTGGGATCGTGATTGGAGGGGGAGGCCAAAAGGGATGGGGAGGGACAAAGAAATTCAAAACACGGACGCCACTGAGGTCGGCTCCTAGGCATGTCATCAAGTGTATCTAGTCAGACGTGTTCATCGTCTTTTGGACCCCAACCAGGGAGCCGTGACGCTCCAACAGAGGCCAGCTTCGCCAATGTGCTCGAAAAATATTCACACAGTGAGGTACAAATACGCAAATGAAGCTGACAACATATGTTTCCGGGTGCAGATGTGCTTCAGAGAGACATTCAACTCTATCCGAAACTATCATTGTATTATAGACTGAGAACACTGAGCTGTATCGATACAGATTTTCCCCTATCGAACATCGCCTTTCTTCACTTTTTAGAAACGTTTTCACAAAACGCTCTCACTCCATGTCCCCTAGAATTGAGTAAGATCGCAAGATACATCAATTCCCAAAATATGGACTATTACCAGGCGCTGCTGGAAGACCACCTCTCGCGTTTGTCTAGGGAAAGCATTATCGTTATCGTGGTAAAGCGATTTTTCCCCACAAGCATTCAGTTGGACCAGCAAAGAGAAACAATCGGGCAACCTGCCAATCACTCAAGAACCAGGGGTCAACGGTGCGATGTTTAAACGCTGGAATGATCCGAACGAAACATGTGTCTTCGCTACAGCGCTAGTGTGTAGATTATCAAACAAGACAGCTTCATACGGAATGATAAATGAGCTAAAAAGCGTATTTTGAGGTGCTTGCCTATACTACTATCGGTCACTGCCCGCAAGTTACAAATCACCTCTAATGATAAGCCGTACACTTCCATTTGTTTGTTTATATACACTGCGCAGTGGTATCTAAAATCGACAAATGAATGCTGAGGTACAGATGAGTGCAGAAGTGTAACACGGAGAGCTGAGTTGAGCCGAAGCTTTAGTTGTTAGTATTTCCGATTAGACATCGTGTAATTCGTTAAAAGAAGTGAGCAATTAATAATCAAACTACTGCAATGAGACAGTGACTAAGTGTCCATTACGACGAAGATGGATCTTAAAGCAATGTGGTGATTCGCTTACCTCCATGAGCTATTGAGATACGTTGGGTAACATTTTCCAAGTGCTCGACAAATCAATATTTAGGGATCAGACAAACTCAGTCACAGCATTCTCCTCGTTGGAGGGGGCGAAGAAATCGATGACCTCTCTGCAAATCCTAGCCATGGGAAGCAACAGTCTACGAATTATCAGCTCAGCATGACTGGTATAGAGCACGAGCGTCACCGGTTGTCTCTGATAGCAGAAGAGCAACAACCTGGTTCAATGGTTTGCTATCGCTCGCCTTAAGCTGAGCGGCCCCTGACCATAAAGCCTACCTGCGGTTGGTCGTGCTCGCAGGCGTACACTCTAGTACGGTCGAAAAAACAAAAACTATGAATCTTCCAAAGGGGGGAGTAGACTTCAGAGAGATCTAATGGGCCTACACAATTTCCATCCAGAGCTGCATAGATCAATCATTTTGGATAAAGTTGAGCAGGTAAATCGCTATTCAACTCACTACCTAATGGATCATATCGCTGAGTCCAAATTCAGGGATAGGATAGGTCGGATAAAACCACCCTTCACGGGATGAGCAGCCTGGGAGTATCACCTATCCACAGGAGATCGTCGCCAATAATTCTTTCTCTTCTTATGTTACCCTTTTGCGAATTCTGTTACCTTGTTTACTAGCAAGAGACTACTTTCGGCTTCATAAACCACACAAGCAAGGAAGCTGGCTTGTCTTTCAAACCAGTGATAACACTCAACACCCGACCTTTCAATATATCACAGGGCGTCAGTTAAGGCTACGTTAAGCCTAACTCAGCAAAGAAAACTGTCCGTAAGGCGGGACTTGCCTATAAGGTGTGACCGCGCATAAGAACCGGAATAAAAATGCATTGTTTAAAAAGTAAGTGCGAATCTGATTATGAACAGCCATGCTCGTGTACCGGAACAGCGCATTCCTAATAGCAACCTACAACCCGTGTTTATCGTACGGAAACATTATGCTCGTAGTTTATACAGACATGCTCTCACTTGTGAGCGACAACAGTGGTGGAGTTATTGCTATAATTTTGCTCGGCCTTATGCTCTTTTACCCCTGCTAAAGAGCGGCGAGAGCTTGGCATAAACTCTAACACTCTACCAGAACTAAGCGCGTACAGCGCCCTCATAAGTACGTATGGAACAGGTATACTTTCTGAGCAGAAATTTCCAAAGGGCACGTCGATCCAAGAATCGAAGGCACCTTTGATTTCGAGAACCACGATTACGGTGGATCGCCAATGAATCTGACGGTGCACCAATAATTGATGCAAAGTAAAGATGTAGTCGATGCAGCCACGATCTCGACGAAACCCGACTTGCTCTTCACGAAACTGATTTTTACGAGTGCCAATCAGTCTGTAGAGAATGACAGGCACAAGCAGTTTATAGGCTAATGAGAGCAAACTGATTCGTCTATGACTGTTGCAT